TGGTCTTGGGTTTCTTGGGCTGTGGAGGAGGCAACTTGTGAACCGTAACAGTAAGCACACCGTCCTGACAAACCGCGGAGATGGCATCGGTATTAGCATTGTCAGGCAATACAAACATCCTCATGAATTTTCCAACCCTCCTCTCCATCCTCACGTACTTGGCTCCCTCTTTCTCTTCCTCTCTCTTTCTCTCTCCACTTATCAACAGCACATTGTCGTCCTCCACCTGCACCTTGATGTCCCCTGACTTCAGCCCCGGCATGTCCAACACGAACACGTACGAATTTGGGTACTCCTTCACGTCGGCCGGTGTCGCCGCCATGGCCTTGGCGTCTCGGAAGTATGTGCGCGTCGGAGCGTTGACGGACTTGTCTGCTTCGTCGATGGCGTCGTGAATGTGCTGAAGGGTATGGAATATCGGACCGTCGAAACCCATCTTTGGCCTGAAATCCATCTTTCTCTTGTGATGAATTGGGTTTTGTCTGTGGAAATTTTGAAAGAGAAAATCACTGTATTTGATTTAAGAATAAGTTTGAAATCTGGATGTTGTGCGTTTGAAGATAGGAAGTGGATGCTGTGGGCAATTAATAGGTGGGTGTGTGAAGTTTCTGGAAACGCAAGGAAGACATGGGGACGTTTCTAGGAGCTTCTCCTTTTGCCATTTTTTTACTTCCCGAGTTGTGGGGCCAACTTTACATATTCTCTGGCCTTCCGTTGCTTGACTTGACTATTAATTGGTGAAGCTTGTAGTAAAGTTTTTAAATTTCAAAAATAAATTAAAATAATCGAAAATAACCTTTTTTTTATTTAAAAAAAAAAAGGACTTCAAAATAAATTTAAAAAATTCACAATTTTTTTTCCCATAAAATACCCACCAAAATTCAAAAATACATACACACAAATTTAGAAATATAAATATGCAAATTCAAAAGAGGGCTGAGAAGACTATAATACAATTTTAGATTCGAAAAAAAAGATTAGAAAGAGAAAAGTAGGAGAAAGAATTCATAATTCAAAAGAGAAATTGTCAAAAAAAGAACAAAGACGGAGGAAGAGAAGTAAATTAAAATTTGAAAAAAAAAGTCAATTCAAAAAAAAAAAGAAAGTGATAGAGGTAGAGAAGTAAATCGAAATTAAAGAAAAGTTTATTCTTCTCTGTAAGAGAATATTTTATTCCCTTTAACTGTTATTTATTATTATAATTTTTTATTATTATTATCAAGGAGACAATATGGCTATACAACATAAAATTGGAAATGAATTCGTTCATTTTGTTGCATTTAATATCATTTTTAAATAAATATTAAATATTTTTTCTCTAAAATAAATATTCCAAGATTTATTTATTTATTTTTACAAATAAAATAAGAACACAAATTGGTCCAACATATAAAATTTCATAGATGGATGCCCCCACTAACATACCAAGTTCCAACGGACTTCAGTGGGAGAAATTACCAGAACCTCCTAGAAGAGTGTCTCGCATATTCCCTACTAAAACTTCACATACCCACACCTATAAATTGGCCGCGACATTCTCATCCCTTCAACACATTGATTCAACAAAACAATCCTAGCAAAATCAAAAGTTTTGGAATCTCTCTCACAAGTCACAACCCAAAACCATTTCAGTAATTTGTCTTCCCGGCCCAAACAAAGCAGAAAATGGAATTCAGGCCAGTGGGTTTCGACGCCCCAATCTTCCACGCCCTCCAACACGTCCTAGACGCCACCGATGAAGCCGACAAGTCCTCCAACGCTCCGACTCGCAAATACGTCCGCGACGCCAAAGCAATGGCGAGAACACCGGCCGACGTGAAGGAGTAGCCGAATTCGTACGTGTTCGTGGTGGACATGCCGGGGCTGAAGTCAGGGGACATCAAGGTGCAGGTGGAGGACGACAATGTGCTGCTGATAAGTGGTGAGAGAAAGAGAGAGGAAGAGGAAGAGGGAGCCAAGTACGTGAGAATGGAGAGGAGGGTTGGGAAATTCATGAGGAAGTTTGTGTTGCCTGAAAATGCTAATATTGATGCCATCTCCGCGGTTTGTCAGGACGGTGTGCTTACTGTTACGGTTCACAAGTTGACTCCTCCGGAACCCAAGAAACCCAAGACCTTTGAGGTCAAGATTGCTTGAATTAAAAGATGGCACATCATTCCTATTGGCTTATGATTTTCTAATGTCCTGTTTTTGAGTCTTTCTTTGCTACTTATAATTGGTTGTACGAGTTGGGTGTTTTTGTTTGTGAGGTGTGTTTTAGGTTTTGCTTTCTGACGTGGAGGTTTAAATATTTTATATAAATCAATGGGATATATTGTCTTTTAAAGAGAATCTGTCTCAGTTTCGTGAATTTTTCCTTTAATGAATTTTGAGTATAATATACAATTTCCATTTTAGGGTGCGCTGTTCTTAATATTTGGATGATGTTCAATTGAAATAACCAATAACTGGATTTGGAATATGATTTAATATCAGACAAGTTCAGAGTGATCTTTGTATCAAATTTGTTTATGTTACTACATAATCATGATTCTGTTCTACAACCTATATAAAATCATAACACTTTTTTGGCATCTTTCTTTGCAATCTTTACCTTCAAGTCAATAAAAACTAGAAATAATTATTTTTGGACTCGGCGGGTTGCTCGAGTTAGTCCCACTCCTATTTAACATGGGACTTTTGCTGCAGATCAAATGAAAAATTGCTCATACAATTTTTTTGTAGGCTTAAAATTGCTCAAACCTTTGGTGGTTTCTTAGATTATCTGATTGTTGCATTATTGTTTTTTAAATATGTATCTATAACAAGAATTAATTTCTTTGCAATTGTTTCTGTTTATTTGATATTAACCATTTTTACTAGTATTATGTTTGCCTGCCTTAATTGATTGATACAAAAATGTGATTCATGGCGTGCTGAGTTGAGTTAAGCAGAAAAAGAAGAATAGCGAAACAGAAATTGAAGGAAAAAGGATTGACCTTCGCACGCGAGATGAACAAGAGATCGTGCAGGGAAGAACTTCCCAAGCCAAAAATTGTTCTCTTAGTGCAAAGCTCCAAGATCATAACCATATGCACGAGCAATAACGTGTGAATGAGAAAGAATGAAAAAACAGCAGCACGACGTCCAAGCAAACAACTCCCTAAAAGGGCAACGATGAAACATTAAGTGCAGCTTATCCTTGAGATTCGACAAAAGAATACTCATAGAAAATTTATCTGTTTTTTAAAAAAGACATCTCTTAAAGATTTAAAAATGAACAAAGACATCCTTTTACATGAAAAATTGACCAAATTACCCTTTGACAATTTAGGAGACTTTTTTAACTTTACAATTTAATAAATTTGACCAATCTACCCTATGAATAATTTATGCATAAAATAAAAATAAATAAATAAACTTTATATTATTCACTTTTTTATTTTTATTTTTATTTTTATTTTTTTAAATGTCCCAACTTCTTAAAAATGTAGGCATCTAAAATAATTTTTTGATTCAATACATATATTTCAAATAAATTATATTTTGTTATTACTTCTTTTTTTTTTCTTTTTTTTTTTTATTTTAAGATACTTAATTCTTTCATTTAAAAAAATTAAACCAATCTCTTTTCTTTAAAAATAAAAAATATGGTACTAGTATAACTTTATGCATCTTAAATTATATATCAAATATTATGAATTTCTCAATATAAAAGAAAATAGGTACCAATATAACTTTATGCATGCCTTCTTTTTTTTTCCCTTTTGTTTTATTATTATTTTTTTCCCTTTTTATGTTAGGAAATGCATAATATTTAATATATAATTTAAGATACATAAAGTTATACTGGAACTATATTTTTATTTTTAAGAAAAAGAGATTGGTTTTAACTTTTTTGGATGAAAGAATGAAGTATCTTAATTTAAAAATAAAAAATAAAAAGAAAAAAAGTAATAACAAAATATAATTTATTTGAAAAATATGTATTGAATCAAAAAATTATTTTAGACATCTATATTTTTAAGAAGTTAGGACATTTATAAAGTAAATAAAAAAAAGTGAACATTAAAAAAAAAAAAAAAAAAAGTGTCACTTTTTTTTTTTTTTTACTTTTTTTTTATGCATAAATTATTCATGAGGGTAAATTGGTCCAATTTATTAAATTGTACAGTTAAAAAAAGTCTCATAAACAGTCAAAGGTAATTTGGTTAATTTATCATGTAAAGGGGAGTCTCTGTCCATTTTTAAACCTTCAGGGGTGTCTTTGTCTAAAAAAAACAGTAAGTTTCATCTGAGTGTCTTTTTGCCAAACCTCAGAGGGAGGTGTGACTGTACTTTATCCTAACATATAAAATCCACTCTACTTCCAAAAGACCGATATAATTCTTTGCACGAATTAGATTTATAAAAGGAATTGAGAGCAAAGTGTGGAGTGAAATTTTCTCAATACTTTCCTTGATATGTTTTTCTCTTCTTTTTTTACTTATGATATGTTTTCTGAATAAGTGTTCGAGTGGTGTGGACTACTTCATGATTTGTTTGAATTCCGTTGTCTTTAGGTTCTTGATCTGACCATATGCTGCAAAGAGGAGAGGAGGAGGAGGAGGTTGTGATTCGTTTGGTGAGTCTTGGGCGTTTGAAGAAGACGAACACTGTAGCCACCTTTATAGCTTCCCCCATCCCGTTGTGGCTTCGAAGAACCAACTCGTATCGAGTGTAAGCCTACCCAACACGTGGTGGAACCCAATTAATCACATGTATGATTTTTCATATTGTTTAAAATTGGTACAGACCACCGACCATATATATATATATTTGAATTGGCAACCACGGCCAAAGACGAGGGATCATTTATGCATACCAAGACAAATAAAAATAATTATGCATACCCAGACACGTGTCAAAAGAAGGTGGTACTACGGAGTAATTGTTTATTTATTATTATTCTTCATCTTCTTGGAACATCATCTTTAACTATCATGCAAAATAATTCCACTCCTTCAGACACGCACAGCCTATATCTTATGTAACCTGAAATTAACCTTTGAAAGGGAATATGTTTTCCACCTGCTGCCATTCTTTGGAAAGAAAACAAACCAGTGGCATTAGTTGGACAAGCAACAGCAAGGGACACCAAGTCAGCAGGGAAAGCAATGCAAAATTAGATCATCACTGGTTCTTGAAGGGCAGGTTGCCACTATCACTCAAATAAACCAGTGAGTGCGGGCAACAACATCATGAATCCATAATTTTACTTGCCTAATACAGACAGTAATTTGCCTATCAATATCAATGCTTGTTCCAAGCAGTGTAAACTGAATTGAAGATCCCTTCAGTGAAAGATAGATAGAAGCCTTTCATTCGATCTTGTCATGGAGAGTCACCACCAAGTCATGGGCATCATCTAGAAGCTTCCAAACATCCAGCTGTCCGGACATGCTATTACACTCCCTCATTATCTCATCCATGCTGCTGTACTTCTCTATGATCAGCTTCCTCCTTTGCAGCACGCACGCAGCTATTGCATAAAGCAGTAGGTCTTCGGTAGGAGGGGCTCTAAGTCTTATTCTCCCCCAAGCAGACTTGGCAACGCCCGCCCTAATTGCTGCCTGATCTGCCCACATCACTTCCCATAGGCAAAGAGTCTGCTCAAAGTTTAACTCTCTCCTGAACAGAACTACCACCATCCTGTACACAAAAAAGCAATCCTCTGCTTGGAGCTTCTCCAGGTGCTTGTACAGATGAGAATCCTTCCCCTTAATGATTTTAGACACCGTGTTCAGTTGCCGCCGGATTCCAACCTCGTCAAGCCGAAAGTTATGCCGGGCTTTCCTCATGAAACCCATGAAGCACCAGAAGGCCTCATGGTCCTCCTCAATCACAGAGATAATTGGAGACAGTAGATCACTCATCCCTTGGCAGTAACCAATCTCAGAATCATATAATGCATAGGCTTCAAGGATGGCAACCAGGCGAGCTGCATGAAAGATTCTGCATGGTTCTAGGTGATCATAATCCTTCAACCCAACACTCTCAGCCAAGCGATGTGCCTTCATCTCGGATACTGCAGCTTGAGATGGTGAGTAAACAATCCATTCACCATTTGCCCTCACAGCATCAAGGCGGATGATCCGCTGCCACGTCACAAAATCTTCGGCCGTGCAGGATTTGCAGCTGCTTTCTGATTTGGAAGGAGTGGATTTCTCGTCAACATGCTCATCAACGTAATTTTCTTCAGTTACTTCTGGGTCAAGTAAAGGTTTTATATTATCAGCTTCGTCAGAGGAGTCAGAGTCAGATGACACACAGTCACCATCAGAGGTATTTTCACAAGTGATTCCACTCTCATCCCTATCTCCTTCCAATAATGTTTCAGTGCTCTGAGAAGCTGGATTGCATAAAGGGTGATCAGAATCGTCACCTCCCTCAGCAGAAAGGGAACCCCTGGCACTAACATCTTCTAAGCCAGGAGAATCTAGAACTTGACTAAAATCACCGCTGCCCTCCTTGCAGTTGTTTACAGAAGTTTCCTTCAACTTGAAACTCTTCTCACTCCTTTTTAGAATTTGCCTGCACCGTCTCCTCAGGTTCTCATATTCTTTCCTGTGAGAGATAAATAAAAGTAAAGACTTCAAAATTTGGACTAGGGGAAAAATAGGAAATTGAGATAATATATTATTATTATACAGAGAGAGATGTTTTTCATGTTCGGGAAATGTCCTGGGGTAGTTTGTGATACAACAAAGCATCCCACCTTCTATAAGTACAGAATAAAGTACCAATCACTAAATTATCAGAATAAGAATAGACGATATGAACTAGGTGAAATACCTCTTCTGAGTTCTAATAGAATCTCTCTCTTCCTTTGTACTGTTAATGTCATAGCTGTGGAAGGAAAACACTAGGTCAAAAGTCAAGACACGGGAAAGTCATCAAGCATTATGCCCAAGCAGCACACTGTATAAGAAGTTGCTAATGGCAAATACAAGGCACAGAAGACGTAAAATGGCAGAAGAACAATTTTCCATAGAAAATAGAAAAGAAGAAGAACAAGTAGACTATGTATGTATCTTCCTTTGGTAACTGCAGCAAGGTCATGGCAACAAGGCCTAACATATGGATAAATAAGTTGGTGTGAGCATGATCATTTTTAAGCTTCTATCATAAAGAACAGAACTCATCCAGTTTTATAGAAAACAAGGAATTCCACCAACCCCAAGACAAACTGAGACAATTCTAAAAACTACTAATAGAAAAATAATTAGACCTGCAAGATGCAAGCTTTCTGCCATGCCAGTGGTGGTCCCACCAATGTGTAGTGCTGGAGACGGTGTAGTAGATGTAGGCCTAACTTTTTACATTATTTGCAAAAAGAGTGCCTAATTTAGACACCAAGTGCATTCTCATGTGTTACGACAAACGCAGAGAACCCAAGCAACAATTACGAAACATGACAAAAAAATAAACACACCACACACAAAGATTTATACGTGGAGATCCGGTGAAAGTCTTCACTAAGTGTAACATCGGATATTACAAGTTTCAGCCCCTCACTCCCCCTATGATTTTCAGTCTCTCTTGATTATCACACTCCAAACCCTAATGCTCTATTCGGTATGAAAAAAAAAAATTGGATGGAAGGAAGAGAAGAAGGGATGGATAAGACATCCCTAGGAAAGAGATAGTGTATTTCCTTCTTTTTATTCGGTTGGATAGAAGAGAAGAGAATAAGCTCATAATTTACTATGTTCATTAAGAGAGAAGGAAAGAGAAAGTTTTAATTATTTTTACCATTATATCCAATATTATTTATAATATTGTAATTTATAGAGGATAGTACTGTAATTTAAAACTTGTATAATTTTAGGATATTATTTAATTTAAAACTTCTATAATAGTCCAATTGTCTTCCCTCCTTTCTTCCGCCCATTTTTGGGCGGATGAAAATTTGTAGCATCCTTCCTATTCTCCTTTTTTTCCCTTGTATCATCTCTACCTAACAATGAAAGTTCATTCCTTCCTTCCTTCCTATATTCTCTCAATACCTCTTCCTTCCTTCCTTCCTTCCTACCGAACATAGCATAAGTGCCTTTATATATCGGGCTACAAGAGAGTACTAATTAGGATCCACGACCCACAAGCAAAAAAATGGGTCAAAATTTTCAAACGGGTCGCAACACGACTCGACACCAAATTCAAGCCACAACATCACATCATGATTATTGCTTGGTAAGTTTGACTTTACCATTACACCCAATAATAATGAAAAATTTATCAATGCAGATCCAAAGAGTTGATGATGGCAAATATATATATATATATATAAACAGAATGGCAGAGAATAAATATGAAAGAAACTTATTTCATAGAGTAAAAGTAATGCTGCTCCAGACAAGCTGCAATGATGGAACAGAAGATGCTACCCAAAACCAAAATATGGAATTTGAAAAAGGAATCAAAGCCAACGATATAATGTTTTTCTAAAATAAATTTTGAAAAGTATATAATGTTACTACTAAAGGGAAGTAAGTTAATTGCTTCTTCAGTTGCCAAGACGAAAGGTAATAAGGTTCAAATTAATCCCATCGCATACCAACAGGAAAACTACCTTATGTATCAAATTACCTATCCAAAGATTTTGATGAAGCACCACTTATGTAAAGCACCCGATTTATATAACAGTAATATTTCCCTTAACTCAAGAAGCAATCCTTAATGTTTTAAGATCAATTTAAATTCCTAGATAAATTATTTCAAAAGCATTTTGAAACTTCCCCTTGTTGAATCAAGGTTTAATTTCACAACCGTTGCATGTAGTGTGCCACTGCCTCTTATGTATATCTATCTATCTATACTACTATTAAATGTACATAGAATTTTCAGTGTTATCAAAGTCCCACGGAGCTAGAGGTCCTTTGAAGCCTCTACGCGCAAGGCTACTCGCATGCCTGAGTGAAGTGAGGTGGACAATTGAAAATTTGGGGGGAACTATTGGCCAAAAACACAAAACCCCCCCTGAACTATTTAATGTGTGCAATTTAAGTACAAAGCCAATAGTCGTAGTCGCCGTCACCGGAAATGTTAGATTACCAAAGTGCCCTTGAGTAAAACGACGTCGTTTCACTATTTTAATAATTGTTGTTGCTAATGTGTCAATTGCAATCAGAACAGCCAATAGCACTGTGACACAACATCAACTTATCACAATAACCAACCAACTTTACTTGCCAAACACCACTTTATACTAAACCAAATACCACCTGTAAAGAAGCTAACCAAATACCACCTGTAAAGAAGCTAACCAAACACCACCTATATAGAGCGCTATTCTCCCTTACACTCGTTGTCTGGCAGTAGCGATATCACCGATCAATTGCAACCTCCGACTTCGCCGACCAACCCACGACCATCACCGGCGACAACCATAGACAACTCCTGATATTTTGATTGGGACCTGATTTGGTAAATAAAACAAAATTAATCGCGAAATCAACCTCAATTAAATCATAGATGGAGACGGAGTGAAGCTCTGAATTTTGTTCTTGTCGTTGTTGTTCTCTCCAGCCATGGCTACTGTTGCTGTATGAATCTTTGGAATCCAAAGCCGCCATGATTGAGTTGTCCACTGGTGTTGGGTTTGAATATTTGGGCAAAAAAGCTCTTTTTTGGGAGAATTGAAGGTGATGATGGATTGGTGTGGCATGGGGAATATTTTTCTTTGTACGTGGGTGATGAGTTTGCAGATTTGTTGGTTTGGAACACTCCATCAGCCAAAGTCCATGATTTGATTGTGTTCAGTTACAAATTTTTTTCCCCTAAAATTCAATTTTTTTTCTTCGTGATTAATGATTCAACCATTCTCAATCTTCTAAGAAATAGAAAAAGAAGGATTGAAAGAAGTTATATTGTGTTTTGTATATATTCATGTCTTCCAGCAAGATGCTTTGTTGGTGAGCAAAAAAATTGAGGATTTTTTACTTCTTTATTTTTATTTTTTACTTTTTTTATGTCTATATATAAACATATATATTCATCATCTGTTTGCTTCAACTTCTCCTTAGATTTAGGGTTTTATTAATTTCATACTACAACGGCAATAAGGGAAATTACAGCAAGGTCACGTGCCAATTTTTAAGCAAAACCTAACGGAACAGTGTCATCTGGTTTTTTTGCAAAAATTGGGATAGTTTAGGGGGGTTTCTGTAAAAATTGAAGTTGGTTTCTTGGGAGAGAGAGTAAAGTTCAAGGGGTTTTTTTGCACTTTACCCAAATTTAAATTACTATTAAAACATATTCATATTCCATATTAAAGGGGCAAATGGTCACACAATAGGCGCAAGTGTTGCGCTTGGAGCCTAAGGGCACCTTTAACAACACTGAGAATTTCTATACACTTTTTTATTTTTTATATGATAATTGTTTTTATTTAATCCAAAAGATATATACACACACATATATTTATACTACTATTAATATTTTCGTTTATCCAAAAGGTATTGGCTACACTAGTTGGTTCCTCGGAGTTTTCTGTATAACGGTTGGCCACATCCTTTTTAAATCATATGACCATTACTAATAGTTTCCTAACTAAACTAATAAACAATCTCCAAATCCATTGTTGATAAAATAAGATGATATTCTTTATAACATATAATATAGAATCATATCCTTTAAATAGTTTCCTAACTAAACTAATGATTTTTTTTTGGGGGGGGGGGGGGGGGGGGGGGGGGGGGGAGATTGAAAGAGAGGATAAATGAGGGGTACGAATGCTCTCCATAGAGATTTCTCTCCAGCTTTCCCTTTAACTCAATCTGATGGCTAAAATAAAGACACGTCAATGGCAGTTCACTTACCTACATACATCATTTTAGACTAAAAGGACTACTACTAATGCTAACAGAAGACCTTTTCACTACTACTTTCATACCAAAATTTCAACTTCCAAAATAATAATAATAATCATAATCCCTGGCATTTTGCGCCGATCATTTATCCTAAATTTCCCTCGTATTTTCCATCTCCCCTCAATCAAAATTCTATCATGTTCTGTAAGAACCTTAGTTTCCTCTCTTGTTAGCCAACAATACCCAAGGTCATTCTCTATACTTCACGCTCACAGTCTTCCCGATTCAATCTCAACCTCCATTGACGTCTTGAAGCCACAAAGATTTCAGTTTGATTTGGGTTTTGAGATCAGATTAAAGATTTAGGAGTGTCAGATAAGGTTTTTGTATTTCAAGAACATCTCTTGTCCTCTATCAACACTCACTGAGGTACCTAAGTTGATGTTTTCTTGTGGGATTTTGTAGATGAGATTAAGCTTATATTAAGCCAAGGAACATAAAGATTTCAGTTGCTAATAAAATCAGTTGTGTCTTTGGTTTGAATAGGCTAAACCATGAAGATATTGTTGAAAGGCTCCGACTGAGGAAAGTACACCGAGTGAGTATCGAAAGGTACAAGAAGAACATCATGTTGGGCAGAGTGAAAGGTAGACCAAGGAGCGAGGGATTTTATGAAAGAGTTGATTTGGACGTCGGTGAAGCTGGTGGGCTACCAATTGGCAACGGACTCGTACACATCCCAGATCGGAATATTCACAAACTCTAGAGAGATTTCATTCCAATGTCTCTCACTCTACAAGATTCGGAGTACTCTGTTCGGATTTTCGAACACCTAGGCCTTTCCATTATCGCTAAGACATTAGCGAATTCTTCCGATTGATGGCGAGAGAGCAAAGCAGATACAGAGATCGATGGTGAGATCGAAGCATATCGTTGACTAAGAGAGAGGGATATGTATAGAAAAGGTCTTCCCGTTAACGTTAGGAGTCCGTTTGGTTCCAAAAGATAAGTGAACTGGCAGTGATGTGTCTTTATTTT